TCCAGATCCATTGAAGCGGAATGGAAGTAAACAGATCCCATCTGTTCCGTTTATGTCCGTTTTTAGGCAAGAAACTTTTTGGTTTATACTTTTATCACCTCTGATTGGTTTCTGCAACAACTAAAGTAAAAACAGATGTAGACAGATATAAACTGAACTGAACCGATAAACAGTAAACTGATATAAACTAAACCGAACTGAAGTGAAAATTGAAAGTGGTTGTAAAGGCCTTCATGCATTAAAAATAACTCTTCAATCTGCAGCTCCCCTCAGCCACCCCCTTACTCACCCAAACTGATCCAGCGATGTGCAAGAGAGCAGCAGCTCTCCTTGGTCTCTCCCTCCTCACTAGCTGAGACACAGCAGAGGGAGCCACTCTAATGGACACACAGAGGCGGCTCAGGGAGCTTGGGAGCAATCAGCTTGCTCTGGGGGCACCCAGATGGGAGGAGAAGCAAGGAGTGTCGACGGGGGACCTGAGAAGAGGAGGATCGGGGCAGCTCTGTGAAATACCATTGCACAAAGCAGGTAAGTATAACAAGTTTAAGTTTATTTATTTTTTTTTAAAGCTGAACATTTAGTATCACTTTAAGTAAACGGACATAAACTGAACTGAAAACTGATGTAAAAGTTGATGTAAACTGAATCATTTTTTTCTTTGAATAGATGATGCCCGTGTGAAAGGAGTCTACTTATGTGGGTGGATGCTTTCTCTAAGTGGACAGAGGCATGGCCAATTAGAAAAGAGAGTTAAGACTACTTCCAGGAAACTGTCAGAAATAGTTTGTAGATTCAGAAATACAACTAATAACAGCAGATTTAGAAACACATCATCAGTTCTACACTGCTTTTCTCCCTAACTGGGAGTGGTAAGGTTTACCGTTACAACTTTACTTTGAAAATATAAAAAGCAAAGGTTTGTGAGCATAGGGCTAAAACGGGCATTAACATCTACACTCATTAACAGCTATAAACCCCACAAACCTCTAAACTTACCTCCTTCCAGGACACTCTACAGAAACTCCTAGAACTGAACTTTGGCTCATGATTCTCATCTTTCTCATGATTGTGAAGCTTTTGACTGAACTTGAAATACATCTGCATCCAACACAACGCTCTTTAAGAGATTTAAACTTATCTAATTGTGGAGTGTATGTGTCAATTACTGCTCCTGGGTGGCTTTCCTAGAAAGGAGGAGTTTAATTTAAATAACTCAGAAAAGGTCTGATGTCCTCAATCCTGCTGATTGTCTTTCAGTGAAGTGTGGTAGTGAAGCTGCATAGAAGAGCACATTAGGCTTGTACTTCCTAAAGGGTTACATCTTTTTCAGCTTTTTTTCCCACATTTTCTTAATGGTTTTACGAGAGATCTTTTTTATTTTTCTAATCGGGAAACTTACATTGCAGATTACAGGGTGCTTTACGGATGACAAGATTCATTTATCTTTAATTTTAGCTTTTAAAATCACACTTCACACTAATCGGTCAGCGTTTCAGAGCAAGCTGTGGGGGAATTCACAAAATGAGAAAGACACGTATTTGACCTTAATCGATCAAGTGATAAATGCAACCTCTCGTGCACTTGCAAAAAATCTCTTTGCAGTTTACAGATAAGTAGGGTAGCATTGTGGAATAGAGGAGTATTATTTGCCAGCTGCACTAGGAGGTGTGAGATTTGCTTCCTGATGAGTGCTGTACTATAGCATCACTGCTCTACACATTGTACACTCAGAGAATACTTTCATTTATTAAAAAAAAAAAAGCATTCTCTGATTATTGCCCGTGCTGAGCAGCCGATCTGCATTCAGAATGAAACATGACAGCTGCTGGGCGTGGGATCTAAAAGCAAGTGGAGATCGCTGGAGTAGTGGTTTAGTAGTGGTGTCCACTTCAGTGATTTCCAGCTTCCAGGGACATCGGCCAAGTATGGTATATGCATAATTGTATTGGTCCAAGCTGGACCAATATAACTGTATAAAATACCCATACCTGGAATTTCCCTTGTTGTTCCTAATGTGTTCCCTATGCAAATTCTTGAGCAAATATGTGTGTTAATATGAAAATGTTGCTGTTTTTGGAGGTCCTAAGTGTCATATGTTCAGAATGGGAGCTCAAAAGCCTCCCATTCTGCAGAAGACAAAGGGTCTTGGTACATAAGATCATCTTACATTCATTTGGTTTCTTTGAGGCACTGGTGTTGTAAGCAGGGCCTCACAGATGTATCCTGGGAAGTTCTTGCCTCATGTTCAAGGCAGAAGACCCAGAATTCTAGGCAAAGTTCCAGAACATAAAGGAGGAGGAATTCATCAGTCCTTAGTAAAAATGGCCACAGTGAGAATAGGGAAGGAAAGAAAATATGGAATGTAAAAAGCCTGCAATTATCTCTTGATTGCCATGGCTAATCATTTCTAAAGGTGAATTTGTTATTTTTTATTATAAGGGGGGGGATGTTCCTCTTTAATCACTTTACTTTCACTTTTAACTCTTCTCTCCTAAATAAACTTTCAAAATCATTCACTGTGAGTTGAGGAGATTATTTTTCTTATCACATAAACAGGCTTACATAGATAAATGATACCAACTGCAAGGTTAATGATGTCATAAAAGAAAATGTCATTGAACTTTAGGCGTTTAAAAGGTAAATCACCACACATAATACATCTTTCAGAAAAAGAACAATTTACATAGATGAAGTATAGTTTATAAATTGTTAGTGTTGTTTTATTGATGTAATTAGTTTATTTCATAATTAAACTAGATGATGTCAGAGCAATCTAGACATGTCATTAAAGAGTGTGACTCTGCACGCAAGAATTATAAAAAGAATTTTCCTTTTTATTACGTTTTCTATGCATTAAAGTACATCTAAAGGCTCCTGTATAACAGTCTAAGCAGGTGCCTGACATGTCATCATGTGATCCACAAGCCTCAAAAAAGAAAACAAAAAAAAAAAACTCTTTCTTCTCCTCAGGTCCCCTGCTGGACCTCCTGGCTCCTCCCCCTGCCGAGTGCCCACCATGGTGGGGGGGGGGGCACTTGAGAAGGCTTGCTACTGAGCCGAGCTGCGTGTCTATTGTTTCTTTCCGCACTGACTGTGACTGACTGTTTCTGAGCCAATAAGGAGAGAAAAGCGTAGAGAGCCACTGCTCTTGTGCACAGTGCTGGATCAAGATTGGGCTCAGATAAGTATGGGAGGAGGGCTGCACTCATGCAGAGAATGCATTAAGGTAGAAAACCGTCTGCCTTTAGAACCACTTTAAAGTAGGGCAGTATCACTGCCACAGCATCACAGGTAATTTTTATTGAAATTTTTATTTTGCTTTCCTTGGCTCCTCCCTTCCCTTTTTATCTATAGTGGGCATTGAAAATAATCAACCCACTATAATCAATTTTTGTTGCTTTGCAGCCTGAAAAGAAGACAGACACAGTTTTGTTTTATCCATCTGTATTTATTTACTGCAACTTATAACATCCAAGTGAAGGATAAAACACCAACATGTCAGGAAAAAAAATAAAAAAATTAAAAAACAGAATCAGTGAGTTGGAAAAAGGATCACCCCCTTTGGCAGTATTTTGGTGAACCACTTTTTTGCTTTAAATAGAGCCTTTAGTCTGTTGGGTTATGTCTCTACTAATGTCGCACATCTAGACTTTGCAATATTTGCACACTCTTCTTTGCAGAACTGCTCAAGTTCAGATAAATTTGATAGTGACTGTTTGTGGACTGCGGTCTTCAAGTCATTCCACAGATTTTCAATGGGGTTTAAGTCTGGGCTCTGACTAGGCCATGCAAGAACATTCACCTTTTTGTCCTTCAACCATTGTGGTAATATTTGCTGTGTGCTTTGGGTCATTGTCATGTTGGACGGAAAACCTTCTTCCCATTGACAACTTTCTGGCAGAGGGCGGCAGTTTCCTCAAGAATTTGATGGTATTTTGCCCCATCCATTTTTCCTTCTATCCTGACAAGTGCTCCAGTCCCTGCTGCAGAGAAACCCCCCATAACAGGATATTACCACCTCCATGCTTTACTGTAGGAATGGTGTTATTTGGATGGTGAGCTGTATTGGATCTCCACCAGACATACCAAATACTTAATAATAGACTTAACTAATAGACTTTTTGTATCCATCTCCTGACTTGTGCCGGTCCACAACGTTATCCTGGAGATCTTTTGACAGTACCTTGCCAAATGACCAGAGCTGATTACAGATGAAAGTCAAATGGCTTTTTGTAGCATTGAGAAGGTGATCAGCTACATCTGACTGAGTTGACAAGTAATGTTTAGGAGGGGGTGATCCCTTTTCCAAATCAGTGATTCTCTTTTTTAAATTTTATTTTTTTCTGACATGTTATATCTTTCACTTGAATGTTATAAGTTGCATTGAGAAAATACAGCTGAATAAAACAAACGGTGTGTCTTCTTTTCAGGCTGCAAAGCAACAACATGTGATTGTTTTAAAGAGGGGGGTGATTCTTTTCTATACCCACTGTACATGCGAATGACATTTGTAAATAAAACAGTTCCTTTTTTTTTTCACTCATCTCCCAGTGATGTCATCACTTCTCTTTGTAAAATGCAGGCAAATCAAAGAATACTACCCCAGTACTCCTCTAGTGACAAGAATTTTGTTGATGTCACCACTGGACATTATTGCATTACTGAAATTGAGGTAAATGGTGTTCCTAAATACATAGTTAAATTAAAAAATACATTTTCAAGCATGTTCAACATTCTATTTAGCATGTAAGAAGTAACCTATCATCACAAGATTAACAAAGACATTCAAATTTTTTTTACGATTTTGCACACCTGACTGGCTCAGTGTGAACAGTTTTAAAAGATGGACAAATTACAAATGGTGCCCTGACCCAAGTCGAAATGTACTAAAGGCTATGTATAAAATACATAAACATTACAGCTGCTTAGATTTACAATATGCCATCTCCATTCCATCACGGTTTTTCACTCCACTGTTTATTCAGCATAGCTTTACTCACCCTTGCCAAAGCAATTCGTCATTAGCCAGGTCTTGCCATACACACGACGCCAAACACAGGTCAGTGGCATTAAGATAGGATAAAATAGTAAGGCTTAGCTCTGGTGGCAGCATTTCAAGATTAATAAATCCTTGTTCATCTTTTGATTTTCTAGCTTTCAGCAGATGGTAGAGGTCTATGCCACCCTGGGCATGTCTTCGATTGCTTATATTGTTGTCATTATCTGTGGACAGGTAGCTGTGATCTAGATATCCTTGCTGAAACTGGTGGTTTCTTGCGACTCTCCAAAGCCCTTGACCCATCTGTGAACCCTAGTAGACACAAACATAAGCAATATTAGAACAAACTTACTACACCGCAATTCCCTGCCGGTCTCTGTTCCATTTTATGGGAATGTCTGGGCCTTTGATTATGCAGGACAGAGATTCTGAATTCTACTCAATGAAGGCTTTTTGCAGCCTAAGGCTACTTTCACACTGATCCGTAGCAAAAACACGTTTGCAGTGCATTTTTTACAAGACATGTGATTCAAAAACCGCACCATGGATGTTTTTGCCACGTTTTCCATTTATGTTAATGGAGAGGTGTGCTTATGGTGCAATTTTTTTACCGCACCAAACATACAGCAAGCAGAATTTTTTTAAAAATACCGCAAACCAGTGATGGATCAATGTGAAGTATTACATAGGATTACATGGTCACTTGTATTTCTTCTGCTTTTTAATCTCAAAAGCGGAAGAAAGACGGACCAGTGTGAAAGGCTACATGCACTCCAAAGCTAAATTAAGTGCTTTTCTTCTGGCAGGAAGGAAAAAAAAAAAAAAAAAAAAAAAAAAAAAGGGAGCAGCACATATGCTCCTAAGCCATGTTTTTTCAAACATGTTATTTCATTTCACTGGCCAGAATATTTATGCATACTGAAAATTTGCACAAATCTTAGAAAGTATTAAAAATACTGTATATTTGCAAATGCTTATTGAATGGTTATTCATGTGTATATTTCACGTTTGGCTTAATTCAGATTTTTATAACCTGACAAAAACACCACCGTCTACCTGTAAAACCTACTCCAGTATTCAACTTGTACAGCTGACCTAATTGTTACCTTGACTTCCTTGTAGCTTCAGATATATTTTACTCATTTCTATACATTTATGCTAATTAGGTCCATATTTTAACCAAAATGTATTATCACTAGTATTTTTTTTATCATTTTATGATTGTACAGATTTGTAGAACGGGGTTGATTTACAAAAACAGAAGAGTGCAAAATCTGATGCATCTGGGAATGGTAGCCAATCGGCTTCCAACTTCAGCTTGTTCAATTAAGCTTTGACAAAAAAAAAAAAAAAACAAACAAACAAACAAAACTAGAAACTGATTGGTTTCTATGCAGAGCTACACCAGATTTTGCACTCTCCAGTTTTAGTAAATCAACTCCAATGTATCGTTCAAGTTACACACATCAGTTTTGAGATGTTTTCATATATACAGTACTTTTGCTACAATGTAAAGTAGTGAGTGTACAGCTTGTATTACAGTGTAAATTTGCAGTCCTTTCAAAATAACTCAACACACAGCTATTAATGTCTAAACCACTGGCAACAAAAGTGAGTACACCCCTAAGTATAAATGTCCAAATTGGGCCCAATTAGCCATTTTCCTTTGGTGTTACAAGGTCTCAGGTGTGAATGGGAAGCAGCTAGATTTGGTGTTATCGCTCTCACTCTCTCATACTGGTCACTGGAAGTTCAACATGGTACATGTAATAGAAATAAGGATGACAAGTCCTCTTTAAGGAGAGACCTTGGGACAAAAAGACCCAAAATCTCTCCTTTAACTTTAAAAGCAAAAGAAACATTGTTTACATCCTCGTTTGCCCACTTACAAAGAAATGAAGTGCCTATAATTTTTTATCATAGGTATATTTTAAATGATAATCGACAGAATATCAACCAAAAATCCAGAAAAAGCACATGATACAAAGGTTATAAACGGAGTTACAGTTCAGTGAGTAAAATAAAGTATTTGATCCACAAGCAAAACACAACTTCGTACTTGGTGGTGAAACCCTTGTTGGCAAGCAGAGGTAAGACGTTTCTTGTAGCTGGTGACCAGGTTTGCATACATCTCAGGAGGCATTTTGGGCCACTCTTCTTTACAGATCTTCTCTAAATCCTTAAGGTTTTTTGGCTGTAGTTGATAACTCGAAGTTTCAGCCCCGTCCATAAATTTTCTATAGGATTAAGGTCTGGAGACTGGCTAGGCTACTCCATGATTTTAATGTGCTTCTTCTTGAATCACTCCTTTGTTGCCTTGGCAGTATGTTTTGGGTCATTGTCATGCTGGAAGACCCATCCACGATCCATCTTCAGTGTTCTGGCTGAGGGAAGAAGGTTCTCACAGAAGATTTTACAATACATGGCCCCATCCATTGGCCCCTCAATGTGGCAAAACTGGCCTGTTTCCCCCTCCGTACTTGAGTGTAGTGATGGTGTTTTTAGGGCTATAGTCAGCATTTTTCTTCCTCCAAACATGGCGCGTTGAGTTAATTTATTTCTGGTACTTATATTGGGCCATCAATTTACGCAGTGCTTTTACAGAAGCAAACGGCGAGCGCTATAGAGACGGGAGCAGCTAGCACAAGAGATAGTGACAAAAATCTCAAACAAAAACACATAAAAAGTGCAGCGCATGAAAACATATACAGTGAATAATGAAACAATTCAGTGACATAAAATAATAATAAATTTAAATCTGAATAAATCTCAGTGTAACCAACAAAATGGTTAACAATAAAGTCCTTCCAATGTACTTCCAATGTAAATCTGTATGTCGGTGGTGTGTTGATATCAATCACGGCAAATAGTGTTCAGTCCCACACAGTGGTCTGAAATCCAATACATTGGATTTCAGAGCACTGTGTGGGACTGAACACTATTTGCCGTGATTGATATCAACACACCACCGACATACAGATTTACATTGGAAGGACTTTATTGTTAATGTATATGTTTTCACGCATTGCACGTTATATATATTTATTACATCCACATCAGTCCTTAACACTTAAGGAGTGCACAATCTAAGGTCCCTAACTCACATTTATACATACACATACTAGGGCCAATTTAGACCGGATCCAATTAACCTACCAGCATGTCTTTAGAGTGTTGGAGGAAACCGGTGCAGGCACAGGAAGAACACGCAAACTCTAGGCAGGTGGTGCCGTGGCTGGGATTCGAACCAACAACCCTAGTACTGCCAAGCGGAAGTGCTAACCATTTAGCCACTGTGCTGCCCATAATGCCAAATAGCTCAAATTTGGTCTCATCTGACCACAGCACTTTCTCCCAATCCTTCTCTGAATCATTTAGATGTTCATTGGCAAAGTTCAGATGGGCCTGTACATTTGCCCCCTTGAGGAGGGGGGCCTTGCGGGTGCTGCAGGATTTCAATCCATGGTGGCATATTGTTTTACCAATGGTTTGTTTGGTGACTGTGGTCTCAACTGCCTTGAGATCATTCACAAGCTCCTCCCGTGTAGTAGATAGTTATTTTGTATTTCTTCCATTTGCGAATAATCACTTCAACAGTGGTCTCCTTCTCACCAAACTTCTTGCTGATGGTCGTGTAGCCCATTCCAGCCTTGTGTAGGTCTACAACCTTGTCCCTGATGTCCTTTGACAGGTCTTTGGCCCATGGTGGTGAAGTTTGAATGGAAGAAAGAGGTTCTGCGGACAGGTGTTTTTTATACACAGAACGAATTGCCATTAGGAGCACCCTCTTATATTTACAGGACTAATCTGTGTACTACATGAACACATAGCCAGTCTGTAGGAGCCAGAATTATTGTTGGTTGGTAAGGGATCAAATACTTTTATCACTAAACTGCAACTCAATTTAAACATTTGTATCATGTGCTTTTTCTGGATTTTGGGTTGATATTCTGTCTCTAGCATTTAAAATACACCTATGATAAAAATTACAGACCCTTCATTCCTTTGTAAGTGAGCAAACTTACAAAATCTGCAGGGGATCAAATAATTATTTTCCCCACTGTACGTATTGGGGTCGGCAAGTGGATATTTTAAGAATGTGTTTCAGAAAATAAACTTTGCAGAGCAGTCTTTGTGCAAGACAAAGTCTTTGAAGAGCTTCCGTCTCAGCCCTGGTCTAAACCAGACATGTTGAATGTTACAGTATATTGAGATTACAGGATAACATATGTAATCTTAAATATAAAGACACTGCTTGGATAAAGTTTCCTAAACGTCTTGAATGTCAACTCAGACAATATGTATTCCCTTTCTCAAGTTGAGCGATTGAAGTTCAAAAGCACTGGATGAGTCTGGTCATTTGAAATATACAGGGAACTTCGGCTGCACCAGTTTTTAAAAGCTACAAGTAATGCACTTTTCAGAAAAGGTGAGGACTGCTGTTTAGATTAAAGCCCAACTAAACTTTTAGTTTAAATTGGCTAAATTCATTCCAGGTGCATCAAACCAAAAAGGTGTGCAAAGACTTACAGATTTTCTTCAATAAGCAGCCACATTCCCAAGTAGAAAAAAGCCTGTATTCTCTTAGCACTCTATAGTGGAACCCTTATTTTAGCTTAGCACTAATGGAAATTCTGCAAGTTCAGCATGCACTAGATGAATTTCAATCAGAGCGTGGGCTTCCCTACTCAACAAAAATCAATTAAACAGGGGACATGATGGAAAATCCTCCATTGATCAGCAGCTGCATCTCCTGGTTAGTGTATTGACAAGCCAACTTTACTCTCTGTGGGGAAGCAGTGATCTCTTTGCAGAGGTCCAACAATACCCCTTAATGAGTTAGAGCCAGCTGACTTCAGTCAGCGGGGGACATAAGTTGAGCTGATCGATGACTAAAAAGCTGACCAGAGAGCTTGTTGGACTTCCCAAGAGACAGCAAGGGTACTACTCTACAGCATGCTGGCAGGACACAGGCTCTCTTCTACTGATGATGTGGTTGATTTAGAAAGAAAATTAAATGAAAGACATTGAATACCTTTGGAAAGAAAATGAAGCACCTTTAAAATATCTGACTGACTAAAACAAAAGTTCAGGATTGAAAAACACAATTATACTCACCTAGGCAGATGCAGCATTACTCCAATGCTGCATCTACCCCCATCCGCCTTTAAGACCAAGAACCAAGTGATCCAAGGCCGCTGATTGCTCAGTTCTCTGTTTTCAGGGAGCAGAGAGCCAGTGACCATCAGTCTCTGGCTCTTTGCTCTGCCCCTCCAGTGATCACTGGCGTTCTGGGCTGTGCA